TTGTAAAAAAAAAAACCCCTACCACTGCCAAAGTAATCTGAATTGAATTTCAAACTTCTCCATTGAGGGAATAACCACAGGCAAAGAAGAAACAAGTACACCATCATATTATCCTTTTTTTTTTTGCAAGGCAATCCAGGTTGAGTAACCAGCCCAGGGTCCCACAGCTATTAAGTGTCATGAGTCTGAGGTCATATTTGAATTCAGGTCCTCCTGACTCCAAAGCCTGAGTTCTATCTACTGTGCCACTTAGCTGCCCCCTATAATAGCTTTAAAAAAATTGCAACAATTTTGTATCTTCCTAAGTACATCATTATATCATTTATGAAAATTGATAATTTGGGTTATTTTTTGTCTATGCTTGCTCCCAGAAGGACAACTAAAACTATGGATTATGAAATTGCTGCTGTGGGACTTGTGGCCACTCCATTGTGGCATGAACTGAATTCAACTTAGTTGAGAGTCTCCCTCAGAGACTTCTCCCTTCTCTCAGTTCTGAATGTAGAGGGCAGCTGATTAGCTTTCCCCACCTCCATTACTAAGCACAAAGACCTTTTCTGCTCCCTGCAATCAGAAAATCACTGGTTGCCTCATTTCCAATGTCTGTGTTTGTTCTCCAAACTTAACCTTACAGAGCTAGTTGTCAGCACTTTCTAAATTGGACAAAAATTATGAGCAAGAGAAATAAAGACCATTGAGGATGCTTTATAATCTGAACCTGAGTTCCCCTGGACAAATTATTTCTTTTTTTATAATTAATTTATTTCTTTTGCATTTTCAACATTCACTTCTATAAGATTTTAAATCTTAAATTTTCTCCCCCTCCCTCTCACTACCCCTCCCCAAGATGGCATGCAATCTGATATAGGCTCTACTTATACGTTCATATTAAGCATATTTTCCCCTTAGTCATGATGTAAAGAAGAATTAGAACTAATGGGAGGAACCACGAGAAAGAAGAAACTAAACAAAACAACAAAAGAAAAGAGGAGCAACTATTATGCCTGCATCTGCATTCAGACTCCATAGTTCTTTCTCTGGATGTGGATAGCCTTTTCCATAGTGAGTCTTTTGGAGTTTTCTTAGATCCTTACATTGCTGAGAGGAGCCAAGTCTATCAAAGTCAGTCATCGAACAATATGGCTGTTACTGTGTACAAAGTTCTCCTGGTTCTCCTCACTTCACTCAGCATCACTCCATACAAGTCTTTTCAGGTTTTTCTGAAGTCTGCCAGTTTATCATTTCTTATAGCACAATACTATTCCATTACATTCATATACCACAACTTATTCATCTATTCCCCAACTGATGGGCATCCCCTCAATTTCCAGTTCTTTGCCACCACAAAAAGAGCTGCTGTAAATATTTTTGTACATGTGGGTCCAATGATTTCTTAATGAGCCAAATAGCTACAAACAAGAGCCAAAGAGAAGAGGTGCTTAGATCTAGATTCCTCTGTTCCCATCTCTCCAAGCAATGCTAGGTGAAGGTCACAGGGAAATTTTGAGGCTAATATCATGTACTAGCCCTGAAATCTCTGCTACACTTTCCAAGTTTCATAGCTAAGTTGGTTACTTCATGACATCCAAACATATTACCTCCATGAAAAAAACAATTCCGTCATTTCAGTAAACAAAGTTATTAGATAGTGGTTTACAATTATTTATTTCACCATCTGTGTTCCACAATCTATTGTCGGTATTGGCCTTTAATTGCCTCACTTGTGTCTTGCCATCTGCTTAAGATGAACATGTCGCATATCTTGCTAAAGTCTGCAGTATCAAGCCTGAGATATGACCCTCAGCTTCTGTTTTAGCTAGCTAGTTCCCTGGTCTTCTTGATAGACCTATCAGTACCTTCACTTTCTGCCACTCTCTGATATGGTCTGTTTCCTGATATGGCCATCCTTATCTTTTCCTTCTGCTATCTCTTTTCTGATTTGGAAATCCTTGTCTTCCCACACACATCTCTGTAAAATTCCACTGCACCCATGCTGCTTTTGTATTCAGATCCTGTATAAGGTAGCTGAAACTGGTTCTCTGGACTCATTGACCTATTGGTTATCATTCAGTATAGCCTTTGCTCTAAGACTGATAAAATGCAGCTGTTCCTGTGCCTGTCTCCTGTGCTGGCTTACTGGCAGGGACGAGTCTGCCATTGAGAAAATTAACACAACACTGGTCAGCTAGTTGGTGATTAGAACATCTACTTTTTCCCTTTTCAACTAAGGGCTACCCACCACTCCTCCCCCAATCCCAACCATACTTACAAATTGGGTTTAGAGTTATAAAGTTCATCTGAGGTCTTGCAGCTACAGAGGGCATAATATTTTTCTCCAAGAATCCCTAAAACATATAGGGAATCCAACTAAAGAGCTGGACAAAATCTCAGGGTATTCCTTTCCTCATAGGGCACAGGGAAATCCTCTAGGTCCTTCAAATAGCACACGACACTCAAAATTGTTTCCAGAGATCCCCCAAACCCAAAAGAAATTCTGCCAAAAGTTCAGATATATTGCTTTCTGCATAGGGCACACCAAAAATTCTCCAGCAGTCATTATACCATAGACAATCCCCTTGAAGTTCCGGGAAATTTTCCTCTTGGTTCTTATAGTAGGAGGCACTCAAAACTTCCCAGAAGAATGCCTACCACTGCCAAAATAGTTTGAATTAAATTTCAAGCTCCCCCCACAATAAGACAAGTAGGCTGTTTTAGAAGAAATCAAGTAAGGATTTATCAAGTAAGGACTGACCAACTGATGGACATTTGGAAGGCTCCCAAAAGGGATAAAGTACCTGGTCTTGACTATTCAGGCTTTCTAGGCCATCAGAAAAACTTTCTCCTATGGTCATATTTTATTGATTGTATCCTCAGCACTTATCACAGTGACTGGCACATAGTAGGTGCTTAATATATATTTATTGGATTGGATTGGTTAGACTTGTAAGGAAACACATAGAAAACTGACTGTAAAATTGTAACTTAAGACAGGTGGGAAAATGGACAGTTTTCTCTCTCTCTCTCTCTCTCTCTCTCTCTCTCTCTCTCTCTCTCTCTCTCTCTCTCTCTCTCTCTCTGTCGTTCTGAAAGCTAAAGAATCTAATTATAAGAATCCTTCCAGCAGTCTAGATGTAAAAGCTCAAAGTTTATATCAGAGGAGCCCCCATATATGCATAGGCTCTGTTGCTCACTCTTCTAACCCCACTTGCATCAGTACATCGTCTCCTGAGCTTCTAACTCTGAAGGGTACTTTGACATTATGACTTATAAGTTCCCATTCTGGTGTGTTTTCTCAAATATCAATCACCAGTTAATATCGCTCCAATATCATTAACCAATTTGCATCAGCTAGTTTTTACTTTTTTTTTGGCAAGGCAATAGAGGATAAGTGACTTGCCCAGGGTCAGACAGCTAGTAAGCCTCAAGTGCCTGAGATCTGATTTGAACTCAGGTCCCCCTGATCCTAGGGCCAGTGCTCTATCTGCTGACACCTAGCTGCCCCAACCAGCTTTTACAAAGAGATATTTACTAAATGTATATCATGAACATAAATACCCCAAAAATTCCCTCAAACCAAGACACACACCATTTTCCCAAGGTGGTCGTTGGGAGAGCAGACCTAATTTTAAAGAGGTGATTGCAAAATTCCCCCCAAGTGTGGTTCTGAGTGGCACCTATGTAGTAGATAAGTCTCTCAATCACTCACGTCTTAGATGTTGGATTGATTTATTAATGGGCTATGTCAAAGTGGTCTGGCCCTTCACTAAGCTCAGCTGCTGTGATTATCTGAGGATTGTTATGGACTCCAGTTGCTGGACTTCTAGTGGCTTGTCCAGATTTAATCCATTCCATCTCTGCTGTTCTGTCATCTGAAATCAGGAAAGAATGCACACAACAGACAGAAACAGAGAAGGCATGTGCATCATAATCTTATGGTGCATGGGTTGAGTAGAAAAGAGCCTATGAAAGGCAGCAAGCCACTTAGACCTTTCTCCATCATCTAGGGAGTGAGGAGGAGAAGAAAGGAGGGAATTAGCATTTATTAAATTGCCCACTATGTTCCAAACGTTATCTTTACAAACTTTATCTCACAGCAATCTTGGAAGGTAGGTGCTTTTATGATTCCCATTTTACAGTCAAGGAAACTGAAGCGAACAAGTTAAATGACTCGCCCAAGGTCACAAATCTAGTGTCAGGCCATATATGACACTGTCTCTCTGTATGTGTGTGTGTGTGTGTGTGTGTGTATGTGTGTGTGTCCTTTCCCTGTCTCTCTGTCTCTCTCTGTCTTTCTCACTCTCCCTCTATCTTTGTCTCTGTCTGTCTCTGTCTCTCTGTGTCTGTCTCTGTCTGTCTCTGTCTATCTCTCTCTGTCTTGTCTCTGTCTATCTGTCTCTATCTCTGACTATCTGTCTCTCTCTGTCTGTCTCTCTTTCTAATTTCACGGTCACTCTCCTCTAAAATCTGTGTTCTCGCACATTTCCCAGGCCTCGCCCTTGACTTTAACCCAGCTCGGCAGCGGAGGTGATGGGACTAGCTTAGAGTGCTCAAGGCTGGCGAGAGTCGGGGTGAGGGAGGTGGGGGTGGGGTGCCCGATGCCCAGGAAGAGGTGGCCTCTGGGCGAGAGTGTGAATGGGCGCGGGCTGGAGTTTGGTGTGGTGTTGTGTGCAAGCGTTCATGGGGGGCGACGCTGTTGGAAGCGCATGAGGTGGGTGTGGAATGGGGGCCATTTAGCTGCAAGACCTTAGTTCCCCTAAGGCAGGGCAGGGCAGGAACCCGTCTGGAAAGCAGCTGGAATCCAAGCGGGAGAGGCTTCCGGTTTCAGAGGCGCTTCTTGGAACAGTGCTGTGCCTAGACGAGCCTGGAGGAGAGGAGTCCCAAAGTGTTCTCCTACGTGTGTTCAGCTGATTTTATCGAGAATGGCAAAACACAGTTATACTTGTTGGGGCAGAAATATATTTGTCCTCTTTACATTCAACTTTCAAATTCGCTCCTGCGGGGGTCGGTTAGCTCAGTTGGTTAGAGCGTGGTGCTAATAACGCCAAGGTCGCGGGTTCGATCCCCGTACGGGCCATCAGCGTTTTGAGAGTTCTGGGATCAGAAGGACTCCGAAGTTTCGATAAATCTGGAGTCTCTGCTCCTCAGGCCTCCTTCTCTCAGAGGAAGCAAAGCGTTCACCTGACCCCACTTAAATTATTTCAAATATGCTTTTATTTTGATCTCAACTAACACGAAATAAAATGGGCGTTTCCTTAAACAGAGTAAAACAGAAAAAGAGGGTTGCATATAAAACTCAAGGTCTCTGTTATGTACAGCTTTCCTTTTAAATGTCTAAATACAGTCTTCACTTTTCAAAGCTGTCCTGCTTATCTGGGCTTCTTTCGAACCTTTCTTCTGTTCTTTTATATTCATTTACCCTTCAGTTTAGCTCCACTTTGCTCATCTAGAAAATGGAAACAATAATTCTTGTAATATCTATCTTATAGATATAAAAAGAACCGAAGTAAATTGGCGAAGTTTTTTTTTTGTAAACTCTACAGGTGAAGTGGGGAGAGTGGGCAAGGGAGACGATTATAAATGTGACTCCAGAAAAAGAATCAAAGAAGTAAGAATAGATTTCAAACCCAGGCCTCCTCACAACTAACCCTGAGGGTAGCAGCTCCGAGAGTCGTCATTTTCAGGAACATGCATACAAAATGTTTAACAAGGTGGGTAGGGGGTGGGGTGGGGGAGAGCAGAATTTAGGAACGAAGCGCTTTTAAGTGTGACTTGCATTATTAACATTTTCTCCATCACTTTCTTAATTCCAGATAATCCACAAAACAATAAATCAAACCCTCATTTGTCGCACGTATGTTTGCTTTTTTTCGGAGGTGGAAATAGGCTGGAAAGACTCTTCAAGCTGGCTCCATAACATCCCTGGCTCATTCCCTTTCCTCACCTTCAACAATCATTCATTGTCCATTGAGTGAATCGCTATGTGCAAAGCGCCTATACAAATGCATACATACGTATCGTAGCACAGACTGTATGACATTACTGTATGTTTAAGTGGGAAGGGAATTTGGAGAAACTACAGTTTAATCTATGTAGAGTCTGTAAGGACACTAGAACTTTAAATGTTATTCTATCACGACTGGAGAGATAGTAAATGAGGAGCAAGGACACAAAACTTTCCTGAGAGAAATGATTTAAGTATTATCTTTTGAAGAAACATGATGAGAATTCTTTTTTAAAAAAATTTATTTATTTTTATTTTTCAACATTCACTTTTATAAGATTTTGAGTTCTAAATTTTCCCCTTTCCTCTCTTCCCCTCTCCCCAAGATGGAATGCAATCTGATATAGACTATACATGTACAATCATATTAAACATATTTCCACATTAGTCATATTGTAAAGAAGAATCATAACCAAAGGAAAAAACCACGAGAAAGAAAAAAAAAAGAAAGAGAGAAAATAGTATGCTTTGATCTGCATTCAGACTCCGCAGTTCTTTCTCTGGACGTGAATAGCATTTTCCACATGATGAGAACTCTTGAGAAGAGACTTAACTAGCATACTGAGAGAGTTTAATGGTAGGATTGCATTTCTAGAATTGAGAAATCAGCATTAGCAGTAATGGTTAGAGGTAACTTGTTATCTCTCTCACAGGGGCAACAGTATAAATAATTATGTCTTATTGTTTATTATATTATATATATCATATGTCATTTTATATTACGATGAATTGTATAGACTTTAATGTTTATTTAAACCTAAGAGATTAAGGGGTTTTATAAAGAGATAAACAAAGGTTTTGTCTCTTCAGTTCATTTTATGCTTCATAAACCAGTGTAATTCAAAGCTAATTGATTAATTATTGAATGACATGTTGCCATTTTAGTAATTTACCAGGAAATATAATAGTATAAGTGTTTTAATCTGGAATTAAGAGTGAATAAGGGGAGGGAGTCTAGTCATATATAGCCTGAAAGATGGAAGTTTGCTATGATTGTCAGTGTAATGCATCACACAAATCCCACATTGGTTGCACCTTTTGAGTGTTAATCCAAAACATATATGTATACATATTACACACATATATATATGTAGTGGGGGTTTGGCACATGCACAAACACTTTCAGCTCGGATGATACAAACTTGTCATACATCATCACGATTTTCCTCAAAATATCTCCCCAGCACCATCCTCCTAGGGTAGTTGCATCATCCAGGCAAGCTAATGGGGTCTGCATTTGCACTAGACTCCCATTACACTTGGATATGGTGGCAGTTAGGTGGTACAATGCATATAATTTTCTGCCCCTGGAGACAGGAAAACTTGAGTTCAAATCCACTCTGAGGCATTTACTATCTGTGTGTCCATGGGCTAGTCACTTCACCTCTGTCTATACCTCAGTTTTCTCAGCTGTAAAATGGGGATAGTAATAGCACCTACCTATGCAGGGTTGTTGTGAAAAATCAAATGAAATAATGTATGTAAAGTGCCTGGCATATAAAAGGTACTATATTAATACTTATTCCCTTTCCCTCAAAGAAAAGTATTAATACTGTACTCTGTTGGAGGCAGAAGGCTATTTTTAAAAATTAATTTATCATTATTGTAATCCTAGCCTTATTCTGATCAGAGAGGAAACTATCTGAACTGACAGAGCACTCCCATACCCTCAGATATCTCTCCACACACATTATTTTGAAGAGCTACTTTATAGGACTTTTGAACAAGGAATATTTCATAGTCAAGACTGATTGAGAACCCAGAGTTTAAGTAATAGTTTCATTAAAAGTTTGCTTCATTAAATAGAACAATAGTCACTTAACTTTCTTCCAACACTTGGAGAATTGTTTTTCTTGAAGCCATTCAATCCCTCTTTCGCCATTCCCTTCAAGAATTCTCTGTAATCAGACCTCTTTGCTGTTATTCAGTCATGTCCAACTCTTCATGACCCCCTGAATCCATGAGGTTTTCCTTGGCAAAGATATGGAGTGGTTTGCCATTTCTTTCTCCAGTAGGTTATGGGAACCAGAGGGTGACTTGCTCAGGGTAACACAGCTAGTAAGTGTCTGAAGCTAGATTTGAACTAGGGTCTTCCTGACTCCAGGCTCATGCTCTTAACCACTGAGCCTAGCTGCCTCCTCCTCTTACTAATCTTCCTAATGCCTTCAGGATATTAAGAAAGAAGTTAGTACTCTTCAGTGGATCAATTAAAGCACTCCTTACCTCTGACAGGTACCCCTGTCCTTGCCCTTTCCCCAGAGTCGTTACCATTAGCATCTGCCTGTAAGCCAGACAGATAATACCCAACTTCTTTTGGTTATGCTCTTGATCTTGGACAGACTTCCAAAAAGAAGCTAGGGTAGCACACTGGGTGCAGACTGTTTTGCTAGTGAAGGAAGTTGAGCAAGGAGCAGCAGCCGTGGTGGAAAAACTAACAACTGGGATAGAATGTAAAAAGCCAGGATTACATCTGGGATTGTCTGAGCAAGGAACGGATTGGGCCATGTGGAACCAAGGCAAGGAGGCAAGCAAAGCAGAGTGACACAGACAGACAAAATCACAAGCCAAGAGGGATAAGATTGTGATCAGGTACATTCTAGAAAGAGCAGGCAGTGACCAACAGGCCATGGGGCTGATGAAGAACAGTAATACAGTTAATGATACCCTTGACATTTCCCCCCATTCTCCAGAGCAGAACATCATCCCATCTGTCAGTTAATCTTTCACTTCCTACTTTTCCCCACCCAATTCAAAAGAATGGGGGGGGGGCAGGTGTCTCCTCTCTTTTGGCCAAGTTATTTTCTCATTGTTTATTTTGAGTTTCTTTTATATTTTATTGTTATAAAAACTTGCTAGCATCAACTAGGTCCATTTGCTTATTGAAAGGGATGGGGAGGGACACATAGGGAAAAAAACCCTTAAAGGAAGAAGAGGCACTTTGCCCTCAGTGCAGTCTGGGAGTGGAGAGAGCTTTAGCAACTTATTAGCAAATACATTCAACATTATTTGAACATTAGACATACCTAGAAGAACCTATATAAACAGGAAATTGGAAATCTCCTGAATTTGCCTGAATGTATATTGAGGTTACAAGCTTCCCTTGGAGCTGTTTAACTTGATAGATCAGGGACGCCAGAGCTGAAGCAATTTGTAAAAGACTGAGCTTTATGTTTCATGCAGGCCACAGCTGACTAGTAGAGAGGGCTTGGGCTCCTGCCCAATCTTTGCTCAGGCACTCCCCCTGGTGGCTATACATACACACATCTATGGGGGTAGGGGGAGAGACTCAGACAAGCAGGGTTGGTTGCAGTTTTGCGTCTGTGGCTATGTGACCCTGAGAGCAAGTCACTTAATTTCTCAGCGCTTTAAACAGCTCTTAAATACTGTAAGTTGCAGAGAAGATGCTGATCTGTGTTGGTAGAGGGTTAGTTAATCGAAAAGTTCTCTGTGTCAGTGAAATCACAGATCTTGTCCTATCCCTTATAAGTGTTTCGATTCCAACAAAGATTTCCTCTTAAGTTGACCCAGTCTGATTGTTTCCCCTTTCTTCCCATCTTTGTTTCCATTATTGCCACAGAGTATGTGTATAGATTATTTATGCAACAATGACTTACTATCACTGCTGGGCCAAGTGGATCCTGGACATTTGCTTTCTCCTACCCCACTAGCTCTAGACCCACATCAGAATGGAGCAGGGTCAATACTGGGGGAGCTTGGGCACATCAGAATGGAGCAGGGTCAATACTGGGGGAGCTTGGCTTCTGAAGAAATAAAGTGCCTGTTTTTGCTTTAGTTTTGTTGTCTCTGTTGTTTTGTTTGTTTGTGTTTTTTACCTGCAACCCTGGGTCTCTGGGGAGAATCACTTTGAGTTTTGATTTGGCTCTGAAAAAGGGAGGAGTAAATAGAAAGTGTTCGATGTAGATCTATTTATTTCCTCTACACACACAAACACCCCCCCCCCACAAATGTATATTCACAGAAAAACTTGAATAAGTAGCAAAGTAACTGCTGTTATAGTCTGATAATAATTGCTAGTATTACTTGAGAACCAGGATATTTAGTCTTATGGATCC